CTGTTGTACTTTGATAATGCATGGTTGAATTTAATGTGATAACCTTGATTTGATATGACGGTTCGAATAGAAATAACATTAAGATCTTTTTGTAAAAAAATATATTTTCAAATTTTCCGGAATTTTTCATTTTAAGAGGTGATTAGTTAGAAATTTTGTCAAGTACACTTTCTGAATTAAACACTGAAGCCATTTATAATTTATGCTTCAAATAAAGAATGTTTAAAAATGAAACTCTTTAACAGTGCAGACATGAAACATAAGACACTAGATATCAAAGGTCATTATGATCTTTCCCAGCATACTGAATGCTTATTTACATTGACGAAACGAATTTGAAAAGGTTTACGGCATTGTAAGTTTATATTTACCTTCAAGACATTTCGAACCTTTAAATCCGTCTATACAACCATACAAGCATTCCGCTGTTATCTGGTTGCAAGTGATATTTATACATTGGCTACTGCATAGTTTGTCACATCTGTTTCCACTGAAACCCTTTTTGCATCCAAATAAACAATGACCTGTTATATCATCACAAACATGTTTGCCGGTATCAGATAGACATGAAGTAGAACATAAATTGTCACAAAACAATCCATGATAATTTATAACACATCCTTCTAAACAATGTCCCGTTTTCCAGTCGCATTTTTCTTTTTTGCAAGTGTTACGACATTGATTTTCACAATATTCCCCATATTTAGTAACTGAATTACAACCATGTAAACACTTCCCAGCATCTCTCGTGCACATACGATCATTGGCAGTCACATTGCAATTCGTGTTACAGTTTTGTGAGCAATCAGCTGAAAATGTGTCACGTGTACATTCCAAACACGCTCCATTTGTTTGACTGCATTCTAAACAACTTGTTTGGCAATTAAAATTGCAGTTATTCCCCCATTTTCCTCGAATACACCCATTTTTGCATAGTCCCTCTGTACTGCATATATTGTCAATACAGCCACTTGGACAAATTTTACACGTGCTATAACTTTGTCCAAAAGGAATTGCTAGAGTATACCCATTGTTACATTTTGTACAGTTTCTAAATACACCTGATTCATCTGATATGCACGCTTGACAATTCAAATCAATCTCACGACAGTGTTTGGAACAATTAACTCCATATGTTCCATTTTTACATGTGTCACATAAATCTCCAAAAAATCCCGGTCTACATTCAAGGCATAGACCATCAGCAAGTGAACAGTTGCCATAGCAACCTGATGAACATGTTTTAGTGCATGTTTCCCCATAGAAGCCGGTTTTGCATACGGTACAATTTGATGCCGAAAAACATTCATAACAATTTTCCGGGCAAGGTAATTCACAATAGTTACCATATGTTCCAGGTGAGCATGCATCACATTTGTCACCAATATAAGCAGGTTTGCAACCACTAGGACAATATCCATCAATTTTTCTACATCTCCCGTCGTGACAGCCAGGTGAGCATCTATACTGACAATATGATCCGTAATAAACTGTGTTTAGACACCACGAACATTCTGTATCTGATGTGCAAGTTCCACAGTTACTTGGACATGTTTTGTTACATTCATTTCCATACTTTAAAACTACGCAAGTATCACATTTACTTCCAATAAAATTAGACGATTTACAGGTACATTCTCCTGATAAAAGTTTGCATGTATTATTAAGACAACCTTTCCCACATTGCAAATTACATTTGTCAGTATAATAACCAGGTTTACATCCTGTACATGTATTATTTTTGACACAAGTTTTACAATTTTCTAGACACTCTTCTGTGCATTTAGAACCATAATAACCGTCGATACATCCATCAACACAATTCCTTTTGGGATCACATTTATGACTTTCTCCGTTACAACATGCACAGTCATTGCATGCCTGTATCGATAACCCTAGAAAAATAATCAAAAATAAAAATCAACAGGTTTCATTATGATTGTATGTAGTGTATAAGATTTTTTAAAAAGCTCCTCGCTGCTTTTTACACCAGAAAAGATAAATATGCATTCGTTAATAAATTATTTTAAGCAACACAATAACTTGCCCCGTTTTTGCAACATAAACAATCTAAACAGATCTGTGTTTGAATAAACTGTAAAGCTATTCTGTATTTCTATTTACATTAATTATCATTTGTTTCAATGTATTGATAAAAATGAGCATTCACTTTTATATACAATATAGAAAGAGGCTCTTGAAATAATCTATGAATTAAGGACCTTTTCAATATATCCAATACAGCCTACTTTATTCCATGTTCATTTTAATAACAAAACAGCATACTGATGTATACTTGCATTAAATTATCATAAAAGCGGCTTACCAATCTGACACACTAACACCAAAATTACTGAAACCAATCTTGTCATGGTGTCAACTGTGGTACCTTTAAATAAAGCAACTTGATTTCATCTAATATGAGGAATATAATAGTATGATATTTAATTATGGAGAATAAATGTAAATAAAAATACATGTTTGTTTTTCAGTAAATATCCTTTCTACACCGTTAAACAAAAATGGAAAAAAATTAACATGCGCGTAGACTGGGCTTTTCTTCCTTTGATTATAAATACTCAATATAATTATTTGCATAATTGCCAATTGCGCATGCCCGGGGTCATGTTGTTCCGGATAATCATATTTTTCTCTCTCTAAGTGCAATATTCGTGTTATTAACAGTAAAATACTTTCTATCGTAAAATTCTTTCGAGAACGTACATGTGCCATAAAAACAAGGGAACAACATAATTTTACCGTTTAAATTTTTATAAAAAAAAAAATCTTATACGATGTAGCTTTATATTCTTTAAGAAGTTACAAACCTTGCGAAATAAATTCTTAATTCCGATTATTGGTATCACACTATATAAATTAAGGGTATAGAGTCGTTTATTTTCAAAAATGTATATATTTACTACCTTATCCACTAATGCGTTATGCTAGTCAATAATATAAGAAAGGTATCATCTTTATTCCCAAAGTACTTTAATATGCATATTTTATGCAGAATGTCGCAATATTTAAAATATTTACATTTCAATGTAAATTTTCAAAAACGGAGTGTTCATATTTCTTTACTTGTCCTCTTGTATTTAAATAACTTCAAATGGCGTCCATGTGTTTGATTAATAGGGTCGTTTTGTTTGAAAAATTGTTTTTCTTGCAAACCCTTTTACAATCTAAAATAAATCATTAAAACCTACTTGATAAAATGAATACATTAAATTTTGTATTTAAGTTTATTACAGTCGAACGTTTGTTGACATGACATCCCCTTGTCCAAGAAAACAGGGGACATCCGCGCCATTTATTTCATGTGTTTCAAATATTTTATTTTAACACTAAACGTAATATATATTTTTGCTGACTGGAACTTCAAGTCATTTTCTAATTATTATTATTCCAAATTATTGATGCATGGATGTTTTAAAAAAGATTGGGTTAAAGTTAACCGATAATGATGCGTTTTTCAATGCTTGTCTGTCGTGTCAGTTTACTTGTCAAAGTATATGGTAATGATAATATTCTATGAACATTGAAGTAGTTCTAGTTCCCTATTATTTTAAAGACTGATAGTCATGTAAAGTTTGATTTTCTTCTTCATGAACACAAAGCCAAATATGAGATTTACTAAAACACATTTAATGTTTTTGAATTGGTTTTGACATCCGACATGTGACTAAACCGAAAATTGACAAAGACCAAAACGTTTGTTAAATCAGTTACAGTGAGATATTTACATGTGATCCGAACGAACATTTAATAATGCTGATGTCATAAATCATTTGCATGTAAATAAACTGTAAAAATATATAATCATTATGATATACATAAAAGACACCACGAGGTGTGCTAGATGTGTCCTTTTTCGTTAATAAATTGTACACGCCATATTGCCTTTCAAGCTAAGTTAGCTTCGTTTTTCCGTAACATTATCCAAGTTGTCTTTTCCACAATAATTTTGAATTTACGATGTGAAAAAAGTAAAATATGAAATATAAAGATATGCTCTATTTCGATTAAAGGGACTCCACTGAGGTTTTTTGACATGACGGGACTGGAAATATTTTTTTAAGATTATTACTCCATTTGAAGTAGATCTATACATATAACTTATGTGCGAAATTTCAGATCATTAGCTTGCTCCGTTTTTCCAGAATAATTATTATTATAGTGAAAAATGACCCAAAAATTGAAAAGCGTTTCAACGCTTTTCAATCAAATCGGAATGCGAATAGCACAAACATACGATTTTCAATGTTTTTCTTGTATGTTTCTTAGTTATATTTAATTTGTATTTCTGTTTAAAGTGCTCATGTTCATTTTTGTGAACAAATTAAAATTTTATGTTTTTAGGCCTATAAACCTCAGTGGAGTTCCTTTAAGGTACAACAAGGAATTTTCTGTTGAGCTTTTCAAAGTTGTTAATCTGAGCGGTAGTTCAATGCAGATACAATAACAAATTTGATAAAGGAAGATTATTGTGACATCAAGTTTTTATAGAGGTATTTTACTTTTAGAAATTTGATTAAGTCCATGTCTCTATTGTAAATAAAAATCAAATGCTTACAAATGCAAGCTTATGTTTAAACTTGTTTATACAGATCTATAATACCATGCATTTAGATTTATCTTTTTTGTTTAAAATGTATTCTTATTTGAAACTGTTTCGCATTGCTTTGATTACGTATTGTGCGTGCATTTCTCAAAATATTTGCACTTACTTATTTGTAATAAAGTGACCGGTTTTTAATGTATATCATCATTCTGAGAATGATAAATTGTTTCAAATAAGTTGTGAATGATTGGTCAAATTATTATCATAGGCACATAGAGTCAGTATGAAAATCTTGAGATTGCTCAAAAAATCACATATCTGATAAAATATTTAAAGCAATCTGTAAAATTAACACATTTCGTATTCATCTTATTTTTATTCCTTTTTTAGCCCGTTTTTGACATTGCACACTTCAAAATTTCATAATTTTCAATATGATACTATTATGTTTTCAAACTGTCATGCAATCTTTATTTAAGATGTTTTGTATAATTCACTTTAAAAACCTCCATCACCTTTATCATTTATCATTCATTTGCTTAATGCATTGCTGGAAACAGATTAAGATTGGACAACTTAAATGTTGATACTCCACATCAAAAACGCCGCAAAATGAAGTGAACAGTCACAGGTAATGTAGAAAATCAGCCTAAATAATTGTTCTCTATTATAGTTCAATATCCGAAGCACTTATCAATTTTTCCTCATGTTTCTGGTATGTGCTTGTTGTTTAATAATTAAGTTGCATATTTGTTTGTGTCGAAAGTTTAACATAATGAATAATCTGAAATTCTGAATTTTTTCTCTGTCGACAAAGATTGAAAGGTCACGTCGAAGTAAAATAAATTGGATAACAAGTAAAAATGAAATGATTGGTATACTTAAAATAAATTCAAGGCAAAGACAGAGATAAAGAAAAATATATCCGATGCGCCGAGAATATGTCCATTAAAATATTGGTGCGAATTTCATAATGTTCGAATGATTTTGAGAACGAACTGTTCTGTTATTTTACAAATAGCCAAAACATGTTTGCAAATATCAAATAATTATAAATAAATTGTTGAATATAATCAATGTTAGTTGTTAACTTATTTATAACTATTTGATTAACACAAGATTGAATATTTGATTGCATAATTTGCCCCTTTGCTGAATAGACGAATGCATATATACTAGACTCCAAGTGCATTTGTGGTTATTAGTCGTAATATTGCCTACAGCTGTAACTTGTGAGACAAAATATATGTATCAAAAGAGTTGTGCAATAATTCCAAGCTGTATCGTATTTATTATTCATTTAAAAATTGTTAAGATATACCATCAGATACCTGAATATAAGTACACTTTACTACTTGTGCATTGATGACGAGGACAGTCACTGTAAAATCCGTCTTCGTGTTTTGAAAGAAAAAATTTATATGATAAACTGAAATTTAATTTGTTAATGTCCTCCCTTTTTTTAACTTGACATTCAAATGTACTCAAACTTTGTCCTGGGTTTGTTTATTTAATACCTTTTCTATAGTGTCTTGTTATATAAAATATTGTTTTCTGTTAATAATGTTTAAAATTCTGTTTCTAATTTATCGATTTATCGAGATTTAATTGCTATTTATCAGTGCAATTTGTCTCGAACTAACCTTTATTTCCTATGTAGAAGTTTAACCATGTATTTTATATGTCTTCATTTCTTTGTCAACTGAACCATACCGTCTTAAATAAGGCCAAATATTTTATTTTAGAGTACATGTGTCGCACAATAATGGGGATAACAGCTGCAGTATTTCTTATATTACTCTGTCAGGTTTCGTAAGTCACAAAATAATTATTATATCTTTTGAGTGCACCAGATCTTTATTTTGCCGAAAAAGGTATCAATAAAACGTTGTTATTTATAATCTTCCTTTTTAAATATTGATTTGATTAAACTTTAATTACTATGTTTTTCTTGAGCTAAACCGGCATGCACAATAATAGAAATAAAAGAATTCAAGATGGTTAATTTGGACTTAGTTTGCACTTGGCACTACCGTCTATGAACAGGCACAATCAAACCGATCCTGCAATATTTTCAATTTTGACGTGTTGGGCTTTCTTTAGGGATTCCTATTTTCTCTATGTTAGACGAAAAAAATGTGTACAAATAGTTTGTTGTATTTATAAATCTCATTCACTTCTTCTTTACTTTGAAATGATTTACTTCAGACTTTACATACTGTTTCTATTTAAAATACTTCTTATGTGCCAACACATTCAAATGATTTTAATATTTTAAAAATGTAAACGCAAAATTCAACCATTGCCTCATTATCATAATCGATCCTTATTATTCTATTTCCATGTTTCCTAAGATAAGATATGCAACTAAACCAGTTATAGACCGGCCCAGTAACTTTTTTTAAAGATACGTCTTGTTTTATTTTCTTCTTACAAGGAACAATTAAAATACCGCTATGACAGAAACATATTTAATGTTATCGATGACTGCCAATTGTAATACCCGAAATCATCTTGTTCCGGATAATCCTTTTCCGGACAAATACAATTTAAGTACAATATTCATAAGTTGTAAATAAAAAACTTTCTTTTTATTGTACAGCTTTTTTAAATAATTTATTACACGAATATGGGAACAACATAATAAAACCGTTTTTAAACTTTATATAAATATTTTATGAGATGTATCTTAATACTCATAAACTTACATACCTTGTGAAATGATTTCTTAATTCCGATAAAGTGATAGCAACACATATGAATAAAAATTGTAGAGTCGTTTAAATTAAGAAAGGGAAGATACTTACTTTCTTATCTACTCATGC